CCTTTACCTTTCCCTTACTTTGAGTCTTACACATCCCCAATAAATTTTGAGGACTTGTAACTTGAACATTTATTCTGTTCAAAAGTTTTTGCGCACTGTGAGAGGAAAGTATTCTCTGAGTGGAGACATGCTGTTTATACTTACAACAGAAAGAACCAACACTTCACATAGGTTTTTGAAATGTTCTTAGTTGCACATTTTGAGTGGTCTCGATTTTGCATTATCACCAAAGATAGAATTTATGCACCTCTACACATTTCAGAGCCTTAAGTCTGTTAAGGGAAAACTGCAACATTCCTTAGTTGTTCTGAATACAGCTTCAGGGCAGCATCATTCTGACTAGATAAGCCAGACATATACAGTATATATAAATATTCAGCTCTCCAGTACAGAATTGTTAGGTAGGAAGCAGACCTGCCCTGCCCCTGGGACAGAAAAGTAATACAGATGAACGTTTGGATAATCTGAAGCAGCGTGTAGAAATAAATACAGATCCAGCAGATTTGCTCTGCTCTAGCAGAAAGGATTCACGTGAAATAATAGCCATGGGAAAATATTTATTACCAGTTTAATAACTTGTAAGTGTTTAAGAATAGGACTTGTGGCTCAAATCTGACATAAAAATTAGCAGGCCTTGGAAGCTGTACAGAGATACATTGGTTTACAGACGCTTCAGGTTACGCGATTTCGGGTTGCGCACCGCGCCGAACCCAGAAGCACCGGAACAGGTTACTTCTGGGTTTTGGCGCTTGCGCATGTGCACAAACACTAAATCGCAGGTTGTGAACACTGCGGGTTGTGAAAGTGCCTCCCGCACGGATCATGTTTGCTACCCAAGGTTCCACTGTAATACATTACAGAGCATTCTGCAGCTGACTTCAAAGTCACTATACTTTCAACAACAAGACCTCACAGGAAGCTCTAGCATAAAACTACAGAACCAGCAAATTCTGTTGCGCTCAGTTTGGACTAAATCAGGACTCTGGTTTGCTCTTTCCCTGTAGGTGTTAACACAATCTTAATGTAACCTTTCCCCACCCCCCAACTATAATTGCTCTTTTGAATGGGCTCCTCTGTTCTGCTCTTGCATATATTTGTGACTTGCAGAGAAATGCCACAGACCCACTGCCACCCTTTTAATCCGTGACCCTCTGTTTGCAATTTCTCTTTCTTGTGAATGAGTATCTTATCTGCCCCGTCATCTGGGTATGGCACTTGCAACAAAGGAAGTGGACTTTCCCACTTGGGGGCCTTGTGCCGTGATAAATCTGTTTTGTAAGATGCTACAGGACTACCTGTTGTGTTTGCTGCAACACGCTGCTACCTCTCTGGCAAGCCTCAAAATTGCAGCAGTGGATTCTGCTGAGCACTAGAAAAAGATATGCAGTCCGCACTTGGCCTTGATAACCTCAGCATCTAATTTCAAAGCCTCCCTTCATGCAGTTCTTACAGTTTTGTTATTTAGTAATAACAAGAGGGGAGCACTCTGCCCCAAAGAACTGCAGAACGAGAGGCTTCTAAGAGATCTATGACTCTGAAGTGTGAGCAAGAGAGAGGTGTGTGAATTACATGAAACCCTGGCTTTGGTGCACATTAAGGAGTATTATATATCTTAGTGCTAAATCGTGTTTCTATTTTATATCTTATCCATGAGTGTTTGGGGTTATTTTTACTCTTTTTTAAAACTGGTCTTTAATGTATGCCTTGCTTGGTGTCATGCTGAATGCTGAAAGCAACTATTGGAGGAAATTTGTGTTGTTCATTTATTATATGAAATACTCTTGGTGGTTAATTGTTTTACAAAATAAAAAGCTTCCTATTCATCACAGTTGCATAAAACAATATGGAAATGTCTACCAGTTCCTTTACCCTGCCTCTACATTTCTTTCTAATGCCAAATCATGGAAGCAGAATAAATTTAGAAGTGCCAAGCAGTTAGAATCATAGAATCATAGAGTTGGAATAGACAACAAGGGCCATCGAGTCCAACCCCCTGCCAAGCAGGAAACACCATCAGAGCACTCCTGACATATGGTTGTCAAGCCTCTGCTTAAAGACCTCCAAAGACGGAGACTCCACCACACTCCTTGGCAGCAAATTCCACTGTCGAACAGCTCTTACTGTCAGGAAGTTCTTCCTAATGTTTAGGTGGAATCTTCTTTCTTGTAGTTTGGATCCATTGCTCCGTGCCCGCTTCTCTGGAGCAGCAGAAAACAACCTTTCTCCCTCCTCTATATAGTTCTATGCAAACAGACCAGGTTTGCCTAATCTTCATTGTAAAATTTGATAATATTTGCATGGGTGCGTTTTCATTGAACATACAGTACTTCATGTATTGCTTGTTTGTTAATTTCTTCCAGTAGTCACGTTCAGCATTAACACGTTTCAGAGAAGCATTGTTTGGTACTAAGATAACAGTCATTCACCCACCAAAACCAGTACCCCTTGAAGGTGGCATCTATATGCAAACAAACAAACAAACATGACAGGTTATTTGCTGCAAATTTTGAGATTTTATTTGCTTCTAAAAGACCCTCATTCCACTCTAAGGCAAATTTTCCCATTCCTTCCTTTTATTTTAGAGTCCTGCTTATTTGCCTTTGTGCTACAGTTTGAATCCTCCATAAGAGCATGGTACCTATAGTTTCTTCAGCCAAAGCCTGACAGTTGCTCAACAACTGCTGGATACGTCATGCAATAAGATGCTTCAGCTCATGAATCTGAAATGTCATTTTCCTTTTTTAGCACCATCATGATGTTTGTGCCACATTTAGTTGTGATTCACAATCGCCTCCTGGATCTTCTTCTTCGTTCCCAGGAGTGCTTCTGTCTAGCCAGTGTCCCTTGATTTGAGTTCATACGTTTTATTCCCCCTTCTTTATTCTGGACTTATTTTTTCAGCAAGAAACTGCTTTGCAAATAAAGTGACCCATCAGCTGCTTTCTAGTGATATGGAAGGAAGGCAGAGCCTTCATTTCTGACATTCCTTTCTCCCTCCTCCGTTTTATTTCCAAACTTCCACGAAGCCTAGGGCATAATGGGTGGTGATGAGCTACTTGGAAACTGGCAGATACATTTGTCAGGACCAGATCTGTCCCTGGCTCCACCAGCTTCTGATATCTAACCTAATTCCCCCCAAAGTCACAGTTGTGTCTACGAAGAAGAAAAGCGTAACGCTGGTTATGCTAGCGAGGCTTTTAGCAAGATGTCACTAAAGAGTTTCTACTTAATTCCAGAAGCATTTAACGGAGAGTTAGCCTGCCTGCTTATATGTGAGCATAAATTAACAAGTCAGCTGTGCACTGAACTGACGGCAGATCTCAGCCCTCTGTGCTTTGATGGCTATCAAAGCTTGCATTAATTTGTTCTTCCTAGTACAATAATGCTGGAGTGTAGGAAGGTAAGGGATCGTCCCCTTTATGGAGAAAGAAGCAATAAAAATATCCCGAGTGCTCTTTTTTTTCTGCAGAAGCAGAAAGAGATAGAATTCTAATGCCATGGAATTATTGCAGGAGTAGAAGAAAAATCATCCTTCAAGAGGGTGCATTGAGTTTTGGAGAAAATAAAACCCACTACTTGCAGGTCTCATTTGTCATACGACTGTGGGAAAGTCTCCTTGCTTTATGACCCTTTTTAAAAGGGGGATTTTCCCCCCATATAGCCTCAACAATGAAAAAAAATGGGAAGAAAAGAGAATTAAGCGGGTAATGTTCTCTAGAATTCATTCTTTCTGATCCCTGCTTTGGATTTAACGGAGGAGGATGGGTCATATACTTTGACTCAAGGCGTTTCTCTGGAGGTGGCATTTTGGCACCTGAACTGAAAAACCAGAAGCGTTCTCCCAGTCTCTCCTCCTGCACATGTACCCGTCTCCCCCTTGCTGGCTGTGCTGCTCTTGAGAAGCCTTCTGCAAAATTAAAAAAAGCAGAGAAAGTTGATTGTCTTATTGGTACTTGTTTGTGGTGGATGGAAGTACTAATTAAAAGACAAAGCTGGTAAGCTTATTTAGCTTACAATATTTGGAACCTCAGACTGCATTTCTGCTAGTTTGAACCACCAGTGGTCCACCCCATTCCATCTGGGTGGTCCATGGCTTGTCTATAAAAATGGAATGCAAAGTTATGGCTGCAGGACACTTGCTTTCCATCTCTGTTTTAAAGATTCGTCTTTTAAGCATTACTCTGTGTGTGTTTGTGTTTGTGGGTATGCTTTGAACATCCTAGGCCTAGCCTACCTCACAGGGTTGTTGAGAGGATAAAATGCAGGTGGGAGAACCATGTACACCACCTTGAGCTCCTTGGAAGAAAGGTGGGATAGAAATGTCATGATGTTGATGATGAAGTTTTTAATGTTTGAAGTTTTATTCTGTTTTTAGTCCTCTGTTGGGAGCCTCCCAAAGTGGCTGGGGAAACCCAGCCAGATGGGTGGGGTATAAATATTATTATTATTATTATTATTATTATTATTATTATTATCATCATCATCATCATCATCATCATCATTATACTAATCCCCACCCTCCTTCTATAGGCTTCATCTTTCAACCAGGTTGGCACTGGCCACCTTTTCAGAGGATTGTCCTTTGCAAAGGAAGACACATGGTTGTTGTTGTTTTGTTGTTATTATATAATTTAGTGTTCTCCTTCAAGGGAGGGTGTTGCTGAACTTTTTAAAGATAACAGTTTCCCGTTTAATTCTCGTTGAAACCTTTGACCAGACATTTATCATGAACATTATTGATGGCAGCAAAGCAAACTGCCAAGGGACTGGCTCCAAGCTGTCAAGATTTTCACTTGTTTGGCTCTTCTCACTATGATTTTCAGCCACCGTCGGGGAGTGGGCTGTTGGTGCAAGCTGAATCTTCTGTGCTTCCATTAATAAATAAAAGAAGAAGTGTGGGGACAGAGAGCGATTGTAGTTGCCTCCGGAGGCTACGAAAGCCCTGTGTGCACAAACTGATTTTTTTGGTCTCTTTTTGTTTCATCTTGTCCCACCCTCAGGCTAAACTTGGTGGAGGCCTTTGTGGAAGATGCAGAGCTGAGGCAGTCTCTTCAAGAAGACGTGCTCCGTCGCTTTCCGGACTTCAACCGGATAGCGAAAAAATTCCCCAAGAAAGCCACACTCCAGGACTGTTACAAAATATACCAGGCTGTTAATCAGATACCGAATGTGATAGAAGCACTGGACAAAGTTGACGGTGATGCATTTTCACTGTTGTGCTATATCTGGAATTGCCATTTTCTTAAGCTGGCGAGAGGCAGCGAGGACTTGAATACAGTTGCTTGCTTCGTAATATGGATTCCATTGGGACACGGGTGGGGTGGCTTTAGCCCTCCAGATATTGCCAACCTGCAACTCCCACTGTCCTGGCTGTGCTTGCTGGGATAATGGGAGTTGTAGCTCCACCAATACCTAGAGGGCCAAAGCCTCTCCTTGCTTTCAGAGCATGGGCTGCAGGGTTTGTGTGTGGGCTGCCCATCTAGGCTAGGAGCGCTAGAGGAGGAAATTGCCCCCAATATCATTCTGCTTCTTGAGTGGGCCTGGGATCAGCTTCCTGCCGCCCAGGGCTGCGGCCCACAACTCTCAGGCGCTGTCATAAAAGAGGAGGCATCAAGCCATCAAGCACAAAGCAAGAAAAACAGCAGAGGCAATAAAAGCTCCATATAAAACTAGCTGTAAAAGCTATAAAAACAGCGCAAGGGCTGGAAAAAACACTGGCAATTAAAAGCAGCTAGTTTACATGCTGAGAAGCCTTGGCAAATGAAAACGTCTTTATGTCTGTGTTTTTTTAAAAAGGACAACACATTCTTTCCTTCCTTTTTCACATAGAAAGTGTTGCTTTTGCAGGACTAATTTGTGAAGTGCATGGCTAATTATTCCTCCAGTTTTAAAAATTTTAGAGCAGCGTTTGCTGAGCCAGTGCCCTCCAGAGCTGGTTGGGGATGGTGGGAATTGTAGTCCAAAATCCTCTGGAGGGCAGAGGCTTAGCAGAACAACCAGGCTGTTTCCACCTCTCTCCCCACCCCACAACTCCTGGTTTCAATATTAATAAGTGTATCTTCTCAGGGCAATTTAAAGTAGAAGGTTGGATTCTTTTTTAAAAAAAAAGCAAAATGGTGAACTTAAGAGAACTGCCTTGCTCATTAAGAGAAGAAAAAGGATGGACTATTTTGACCTCTGCAGATGTACTTTTCTGACTTGAATGTGCCAGTAGCTAAGAAAATGAAATGGGAATGTCTGAAATATATATTAAAAGCACTCTTTAATTTGGCAGCCTGAGGAATACATTGTGTCTGTTGTCTTTTAAAAAAATAAAATTGTCTCTGCAGTGTTTGCCACCTTTCCCTGAAAATTGGCTTCTGTATTGCTCTTTAGAGAGCAATTCTTGCTTTAAACATATTTGCCGTTTTGAACTGTTTTTAATTATCTTATATGTAGATTGCCTTGAGATGGCAGTTTACAAGGCAAGGAATAAATTGATGGTGATTATGATACATGTTTGTGTTTTTCCTTTTTTCCAGAAAACAGCAAGACATTAGTACAAGCAGTGTTCACAGGACCTCTGAGGGAGCTGCTGTCTGACTTCTCCAATTTCCAAAATATGATTGATGAAACTTTGGACATGAACACGGTAATCTAAAGGAAGCAGAATAATATGGCTTGGTTCTGTCAAAGATGTGCTGGGTGGATGATGACCTGGTGGTATTAGCAGCATGCACAACTTTTCTACATTTAAACTTTTCAGCCTGCCTTTCTAAAAACTTATTCAAGGCTGTTCCGCCAAAATGACTAAAAACAGCCATAGGGCAATAAAAGAAACCAATTGTCAGCACAATTTAAAAAATCACCAAGGACTGGCATTAATCAGATTATAACATAAATCTGTCCCGTCAGTACTGTATGGCACGTGTTGAAGCTAACTGTATGATGTGCTTCAGAAACGTAGGGAGTAACGGACACAGAGTTTCTTAGGGAGGGAGGTCCAGAGACTTTATGCCACCACAGAGAAGGCCCTGCTGCAGACAGCCATAGGGCTCTTCCCTTATATATTAGATGTGGTGGGTCCTCTTCTGAAGATCTGAGTGGCCAGGGTGGGGGCGACTTCCAGTGGGCAGAGACATTCCTTCAGTGAATGTGCTGTGATCATTTCATCTTATTGACACGGCAGATACCTATTTACATCTCTTGAACACTGGTTTGAAGGCCGGCAAGCCTATGCAGCTGCTTAAACTTTTTAGATTAGCCCATCATTTAAACGATTATTTTATACTGGTTTTATGGTGTGCTGGGTTTTATTATACGTGTATATATTGTTGTACGTTGACTTGATATATTTTGAGTTGTCGGTATATAAATAGCTTAATAAATGAATAAAATCATAGGGCTGGGACGAAAGGCCAACCAGTCAGAAGGCTGTCAACACGAAACTTGCCTCTCCAAGGTGAGAGCATCAACATCCAGGAATCGCATCCCATAACCAACGCAGCTGAGCGCCTCTAACACAGAATGACGTGCACAGCACCATGATGCTGGCATACCCAAGTAGCTACACATGGGTCTTAACTAATTCTTGAAATGCAGTTACATGCTACAGGAACAGTGTGTGTGTGTGTGTGTGTGTGTGTGTGTGTGTGTAAAATAGTAGTGCTATTGGGGAATCCTTTTGAATAGGAGTTGTCCCTACCACAAAGAGTTGCTTTGATTTTTCATGTGTGTTAATTAAAGTTTGTTGGGCTGCCTGGGTCAAGTTGCGACTGGAGGGTTGTAGGTCAGTGTTAGAGCACGTTCCCACTTCAAAGGCACCCCTTGGTGCCTCCGGGTAAGGCTAGGAAAGCCTCCCTTCCTGAAATCCCAGAGGGCTGCTGCCAGTCAGTGTCTGCATTACTGAGGTAAATGGACCGTTGGTCTGGCTTGGTTATAAAGCTTCGGATATTCCTAGATATTCAGCCGACTTGAAATCTGGATGAGGAGAAAATAGGAAGTTAACTTAAGTGCTGTACGTATAGAGTCTGGCTCTACCCCCATCAGAAGTTCACACAAAGAAAAATTGATTCTGCAACCTGTAGGACACAGAAATAAAAAAAAATGTGCATTTGCTTGTTTTGCTAGCCTGACGTTCCTGCAGGTACATCCGTGCAGCTTGATCTTGCCGCTTCTCTTCGCAGCAAGTAAGACAGTTCTGCCGCCGCTAGGGACCTGTTGCCGTGAGCCACTCCTCTTGAGTGTCTTTCTGCTGTCGAGGATTCCCTTAGGTTTTACCCACCTGCTTTCAAAAACAAAAGGACGAGAAATTCTCCATATATTAAAGTAGATAAGTTTAAATGAAGCCAAGTAAAACACATGACTCCAAGTTTTGTTTGCATTTCCAAAATCCATGGAAGTTAATTAAGGCCGATGTTGGAGGGGCAGCTGCGGTTGCTGGAACAGCAAACTGTCCTCAGTGGGCGAGAAAGCGGGATCTCGCAGGTTCTGATTTTACGGCTTTGTGTTTCGCATTAAGACCTGTAAGAATCTATCATTCTCTTTAATAGGGTACGGTAAAGCTGCAGGTTGGCATAGCAACCAAATTATATTGCTCGGCCTGCGCTGAGTAAACTTCCAGCTTCACGGACTTAGGTTTATAGAGCCACAGATACATTGCGTGAGGTAGCGTGTATATATTATGGCAGTTTATATAGTGGAACTTGTGTACATTGCACTTCACAGAACAGTGTCACAAGCCTCCTGTGACAAGGGGCTTATAGTCTCTTCCAAGCCTTGGTGGGTGTCCAGGGGGAGATATTTTCAAGGTTGAGATTTTGTTTATTATTTGAGAAATTTTTACAAACTGCTCAACCAATGAGCTCTCCAAGTGGTGTGCAAAATAAAATCACAGCTGGGGCAAAGGAAGCTGCATTATACTGAGCCAGGCTGTTGGTCTATTTAGCTCACATTGTCTGTCAGAGACCTTCTGCATGCGTAGTAGCTGGTCTGCCACTGTGCCGCAGCCCCTGAACAGAACTAAAACCCACAAACCAGTTAAAAGCAAATGGCTTGCCCAAACAGGAAAGCTTTCAGCTAGCGTCAAAAACAATAAAGTGTGAGTGCTTGCCCCATGTCAGTAGGCAGGGACCCCCAGAGCACAGGAGCTACCCCAGTGAAGGAACATTTCCTTGCAAATGCAGATTGGGCATTATGGGGCACTTGGAAAATTGGAATTGGGAGTCCAGCCACATCTGGAGGGCCATAGGTTGCCTACCCCAGTTTACTAGATAAAATCCTGGAATTGGTCGCACCATCTATGTGTTTTGGATGTTACACTTGGAAGTCAGAGGTGAAGTGTCTCTTGGTTGATGTCAGCGGTAGAAAGGTGGGATCCCATCCCATACTATTTTGCATGTGGACCAGGTCATAGACAGCTGAATTTGGTTGGCCTAGAGTGGCCCCATCCTTGATCTGCTCCATATGTGCTTTGGAGTAATTCTGACTGGCTTATAATACCAGTATTATCTCTTGACTGGGCTCCAGTTTATTTTATGTATTTTATTTACATGCCTACCTTAACTGCTTAACTTTTAAAACTCTTAAGCAGTGTACACTGTGTACAGGGTAAAAACAATATCCCTTTATTGTTTTGTATGTGTGTATAATAAAACAGATTCAGGGAAATCGTATAAAGCAGGATTCAGTCTTATGACTCATGGAAAGTGTATATTTTTACAAGACGTGTGAAACAACTGGTGGCAGAAGGAAGGGTATTATTCCGCAGGGTATTCTGTAGGGTACAGTGCCACAAGTAGAATTTACCCATCTGATCCAAGCGAACTTACTAGTCCATAGAGGGGCAGGTGGTCTTTCAGGTTTGGCCCTCATCCACTCCATTAACCGAACCCAAGCACTGATTCAGCACTTCCACCCCTTGCCAGAATCTAATGGAAAGGAGAAATATTATCTGGTGCCGCCAGCATACTGATGGTCCCCTTGCTCTTGATCTCGAGCTGAGGGATCGCAAGTTACTCAGGCCCTAGGCTTTGGGTTAAGTTTGTAAAGGCCAAGTGAATGCAGTGGTTCAGACCTGCAAAAAAAAAAAAAGGGGGGAGTTCAGTTGGGGATGCGTAGCACTGGGGTGGTAGAAAGATGCCGTTTACAGTTGAGCTAACACGTTCTCTGGCAGGGCATTGCAAGGTAGCATCCTCTGGAATGTCAACAGCATGAGCTGGGAGATACTCCCTGGCTGAAACCCTGGAGAGCTACTGCCAGACAGTACTAAGCTAGATGGACCCCGAGGGTCTGGCTTGGTTCAAAGCTAGCTTCCTGCGTCCCTAACATTTTAGCTGGCAGTGGTAGAGACTGAGCCAGGAGTGCCTGTATGCAGTGAAAGTGCTTTGCCATTGAGCTGTAGCGCAGAAGAGGGACGAAGAGAAATAATTGGTGTGCCCCTGAATGTAGTCCAGGTAGCTGCCAGGAGATGTAGGGAAAGATAATTTCACTTCCCCTGTTTTCTCTTTGGGGTCTGCTCTGCACTTTTCTGGGATTATTTTGACTTCCTCGGTGGTGGCATTCAGCTGTTCCTGGTCTGCAAGCAAGCAAAGGGCTTCTTTGTAGTTGCTGATAGTACAGTGTGATCACAAAGCTCTGTCCCTCCTCCCATTCCCTGCAGGCTCTAGATAGCTTTTCTTTGCTGCAATGCAGGTTACAATGTGATGTGCAGAAAGCACACAAGTCCTTTCCAGCATTTTTGTAATGAATTTTTCATCATCCTTACAAGTTTGGGAGTGAAGGGGATAGAAGGCTTTCACCTCTTTTGTTATTTCCCCCAAAGCTTCTGGTAAAAGCGAGGTTCCCTCGTCCCATTTTGAGTAGTGTGACCTACGAGAAACCCGTTTTTCCCTGATGAAATGACTGTTTTGAAAATAGCTTTTTAACAGATAACGTGTGAGCAGTGTAAGGACGTGGCAGCTTAAAGTTAAAAGGATTTTTTTCTCCTAAAAATGCTAGGGATAGATTTAATAGAAGATGGTTTTTGAATTTTGCTTTCAGAAACCCATTATATGGATTTCTCAAATGGGCAGAAAAGTGCAGTGTTGATAATTTGAAGTTAACATGTGAGGGCAAATGAATGGGAGGGACCAGTCTCTGGATATTGAAAACCATCTTGTTTGTTAACTGATGAATCAAAGTGCGAAAAAGCTTTAATAACATATTATGAAGGGGAAACCATAAACAAAGCAATTTGCATTTCTGAGGATGCTCTGGTACAAGGTGAAAAGAAAGAAAAGTACTTTTGAGAGAGGCAGTGACTCACCTTGAGGACTAGAATCTGTTTTTGAAAAAAGAAAAAAAAAAGCATAGATCCTCAGGAATGTTATCTTATACCTAACATGAGATGAGTTTTCAAAAATCAATTCCTGGTAAGGTAGGAAATGTTTTTTGACATAGCTGAACCTTCAGTGCACAAAAGTCCTTCCCCCGTCCCTTAACATCCAGAAGTTTAAAACAGCAACAATAGAGCCTCTGTCCTCGAAGTTAAATATTAGCAGAGCAATCATGAGATCTAGTAGCACAACATATTGGTGGATCATTTTGCTTGCCTTTTGGGTTTTCATCCCACTGTGTGTGGCTGCTAGAAGTTTGTAGACCTCGAACCTAGAGCTCCACAGCCCTGTTTCAGATATTTCTGCATGCTGCTATATATCTAATACTTAGTCAGACCTTGTGCTTCTTATTGATTGTCCTTTTTGCCATTGATGACTTGCTGCTATTTGAGATTTGTTCAGCAATTTGGAGAAGAAACCCACTTCCTTGGAATCAGCCGGCTGTCTGCCTGCCTGCCTGCCTGTATCTAGCTACCTTTTGACCCTTGCTCTAGGTCTAGGTACGGTCAGGCAGCCGGCTGATGAACTTTTCAATTGATTGATTTGACTTCCGTACTTATCTGGAAGGCTGGGCTGATGTTTCGGGAATACAGTAGACCACCTCATCCTCTGTTTTGCTAATGTGTCCCTGCTGGGTAAATGTTAGAGCATCTCTCTGACAAAACGATCACAGTAGCAGCTGCGTCTTTTCACAAAAGCCCTTCCAAGCAGAAGTGAGCCCCCCAGGAGGACACCCGTTTTGTTTTGAATATGCTCCAGCAATCTGCTATTAGAAGTGGCAGCGCCGTTGTTTCCACATGGAAAGTTTACCAAGAAGAGGTCTGCTTTGTCAGATCAGTGGCCCATCTAGTTTTCCACAGTGGCCCATGGGAAAGTCCTCAAGCAGGGCAGTTAAGGCAATAGCTGTCCCATTCTGCTGCCGCTTAGCTTTCTCTATCATTGGAGGTCCATTCATATAGCTATTATGTGCCACTTTTGGACCCAAAGGCCCACAAAGCAGTGAACAGATTAATACAAAAGAAGAATAAAAGCACAGTAAATACAAGAGTAAATCAGTAAAAATGTGAAGCCTCACAATTACCTGTCGTGCTTAATATACATGTGTGAGCTGTGCTCATGGTCTTACCAGACATGCAGTGCCCCAGAATTCTACCTATCACTTAGAACAGGGGTCAGCTAACTTTTTCAGCAGGGGGCTGGTCCACTGTCCCTCAGACCTTGTGGGGGGCTGGACTATATTTTGAAAAGAAAAAAAGAAGAATGAATTCCGATGCCCCACAAATAACCCAGAGATGCATTTTAAAGAAAAGGACACATTCTACTCATGTAAAAACACGCTGATTCCTGGACCGTCCGCGGGCTGGATTTAGAAGGCGATTGGGCCAGATCTGGCCCCCGGGCCTTAGTTTGCCTACCCATGACTTAGAAGCAAGGCTGGCTCACCTTCTCCTCCCCTTCCTCCCAACCCAGCTGTCCCAGTCTTCCAAACCCAAAAGGGAGTGTCTTAACGCTGATCACCTGCAAAGAAGCAGCCCAGAGACATCGCCGTCAAGTCATCTAGTCTGGTGGCCCTCAAAACACCTGGTGGCAGCAGATTCCATACATAAATAGTGCATTGTATGAACTAGTGGCATCTCTTGTGTCTGTTCTTCCTGCCACATCTGCATTATTTAGCATTAACACCGCTCTTGACACACTATGCACAAATTGTTCCTTTGGACATGGCCCTACTTGAGCCAAAGCTGCGGTGATTCAAACCTGATTACGAGAAAACATGTGCGAAGTAGTTTGACATCGCAATATATTATTGCCGAAGATCTGTTCACTGGATTTCTGCAGTGTTCATAGAAGTGTTATTCTGGCGTTCTCTTTTGGGGATCTCGAAGGCAGCCTGACTAAACTCTCATTCTTTCTTTAGAATTCATACTGTGCTTTGTGGCCCCAAAAGATCATTGCTCCTGAGGAACTCATGGAGAAGATTTAGATTTAAGTGTGACTGGAGTGTGAAGTTCATCTGCATTCCAGATGATCTGCCATTTTGGGCGGGTGGAAAAGACAGCGTTAAGCCTCTGAATGCTGGGAATCTCAGGTTGGCGGAGTACTGTTGCGCTCATGTCCAGCTTACAGGCTTGACCTGGTCCTTCAGGCTCATCTTACATTTTTATGTTCTTTTTCAATCTGAGCTTACCTGTTCAACAGGATCTCAGTGTAGAGTATTCCGGCGCCCTTCAGGTGTTTTGGATGGAAGCTCCCAGCAGCTTCAGCTGACATTTGCTGGCCAGGTGTTTCAGTCTAAAACACCTGGAGGCACCAGATTGGCAAAGGTTTGAGTCTTTCCTGAGCTAGGCAGTTTCAGGCTGCAGGTGAGGAATTGTCACACTGGTGGAGAGAGATTCTAGCCTAGCCTGCTGATGTGCTACTCTTTTTTTTATGTTTTGTATTTTCAAAACTCAGTAATAAAAGATGAGCAATAAAAACAGCTAACGTGTTTCTCAAGAAAGATCAGACAGTGACTGCACCGTTTGATCTTTCTGGAGAAATGCTTGTTAGCTGCTTTTGAATTTCATTGCAGACATATAGAATATATAAGAATGTACATGAAAACCAACCAAAATCTCTCCACAGATTGCCATGTGTCTTGAGTGGTATTCTTGTATGGTCCTCACATTGCATATATGAAGTAAATGGTTGCTTAGTTACGTGAAAAGACAATGGGTTTGTTTTACCCCTGGCCACTCGGATTTGGCATGTCAGTTGCCTGAGCAACTGCCCAAACTCAAGTACACCAAATCAAGGGACAAATCTGTTACGGAATGCCGACATCTCGCTATCTCTAAATGAGGAGCTACTGTTGAAAAGTTTAACATCTCTCTATGACATAAATGTTTATTAGAATCATCCCAAATCCATATCATTTTTGATATGCATAGAGTTCACGTGACTGAACTTTTTTTTAATAAAAAAAGGTAAAAGTCCTCACCATGTGATTCATTCATTTATTTTTATTTTATGTAAGGTGTTGATCAGCCCTTAGGCTGCAAACCCCAGAATGTTCTGTGAACTTAACATAAGGTAAAGGTAAAGGTACCCCTGCCCATACGGGCCAGTCTTGACAGACTCTAGGGTTGTGCGCTCATCTCACTCTATAGGCCGGGAGCCAGCGCTGTCCGCAGACACTTCTGGGTCATGTGGCCAGCGTGACAAGCTGCATCTGGCGAGCCAGCGCAGCACACGGAAACGCCGTTTACCTTCCCACTAGTAAGCGGTCCCTATTTATCTACTTGTACCCAGGGGTGCTTTCGAACTGCTAGGTTGGCAGGCGCTGGGACCGAGCAACGGGAGCGCGCCCCGCCGCGGGGATTCAAACCGCCAACCTGACGATCAGCAAGTCCTAGGCGCTGAGGTTTTACCCACAGCGCCACCCGCGTCCCCTAAACTTAACATATATTTTGATAAATACTTGTTTTGACACTTAGACTGATCTAATCTTCCACATTTGTTACTTAGTTTATGTGGTCTCAGAAGTTGCTTTAGATGAACTGGTGGGTTTTAAATGCTTCGTAATATGACCGAAGGGTCATGGCGGCTGCTTTTCTGTGGATAACACTTCTCTCTCCATATCCCAGGTGGAGAGCCACGAATACCTCTTGAAACCCTCCATTGAGCCGAGCCTCATTGAGCTGAGGGAGAATATGGATAAGCTAGAGGAGAAAATGCAGGGTGTGCTGAAGGCGGCAGCAAGGGAACTAAGTATGTTGGCATGACCGTCACTTTATCCACACAGTCCGTGTTTTGATGCTGAAAAATGCTTCACATTCTCACTGTTTAAAATACAGTTGTGCACTTGCTTTTTTAAAAAACCAAAAAACCAAACCTGTTGTTGGAAACTTCTCCCACAGTACATGGTCAAAGGAGGAGAGCACAGCAAACTTGACCAGCGCCTTGTCTCTGTTCAGTGAAAACCTCTTCTCCTGCACCCAGAATCCCCCGCAGTGCACAGGTTTTCTTTGGCAGACACACACAGATCTGTTGGCAAATGAGGCAATGTGGAATGAGTGCTTTAAAGCTGCCATCAAACGCTATCATTGCAACTATGCACTGTGTGAAGAAGGGCTCTTTCTTTGTATGTCCTGAATCTCTCACCATTCAGCTTTTGTTGGATAACGTTGGAGTCTAGTACAGTGGTACCTCGGGTTAAGAACTTAATTCGTTCTGGAAGTCTGTTCTTAACCTGAAACTGTTCTTAACCTGAAGCACCACTTTAGCTAATGGGGCCTCCAGCTGCCGCTGCTGCACGATTTCTGTTCTCATCCTGAAGCAAAGTTTTTATCCCGAGGTAATATTTCTGGGTTAGCGGAGTCTGTAACCTGAAGTGTATGTAACCCGAGGTACCACTGTACTATATTGCAAGGGATCACAAGGGTCATCTAGTCCAACCCCTTGCAATGCAGGAATCTTTTGCCCAGCGTGGGATTCAAACCCATGACCCTGAGTCTTGTGAGAAAAAGAGAAACGTCTACCTATATACCTTCTCCACACCATGCACAACAGTGGAAATCTCAGTCATTCTTCCCACTTGCCCTTTTTCTAAACTAAATAGCCCCAACCCATGTAAGTTTTTGCTAGTAGGGGAAGTATTTCAGACCCTTGATAACTTCGGGTTGCTCTTTTCTGCACCTTTTTGAGCTCTACAATACCCTTTTGGAGGTGCAGCAGCCAGAACGGTTGAAGTACAGGCATGCATTTATCCTTTGTGATGACCTTGTCAATCCAGTGTCAATAAATAAAGCATTCCTATAAGAGCTGCTCCCTCTCCTTGCCAATTTGGATAATCTTAGGTTTCCGTGGCATTACAGTAGAGGGATTTCTAAAGTGGTGAGTGGAACCGCAGTTTGAAACTCCTCTAACTCTTAGCGAGCTAGGTGTTAGGACTTGTTCCAAGCCCTGTGACTATGAGTTAATTTCTCGGCAGGTGGCCTGGTACAATATCAAGCAGCAAAACCCAGCCAAGAGAGAAATTTGACTCACTGAGTGGGGATAACGAAAATGTGATTTGTGTGTTTATAATGCCACAGTCAGTCATGGATTTTATTCTCCCCCAATCCCTTCCCATGAAACAGGTTTGGAAGCCGGCAAGAGCATCAAATTAGAATGCAACTCCCAGTTTGGGCATTTTTTCCGAATCACCTACAGAGAAGAGAAGGTCCTGCGAAACAACCTGAAGTATAAGGTCTTGGAAACCCAGAAGAACGGGGTGAAGTTCTCTAACATGTGCGTGGAACACATATCCCTGCCTTTGCTTCGGAACGGCAATGGAAGAGTCCTCTAAACTTCCTGTGGGGTGGGTGCGAGACAGTGAAGTGTTCTGCCAGGTTGCGGAAGTTTGCTAACGTTTTCCTTTTTGTTCCTGCACAGTCAACTGAAAAGCATCAATGAAGAATACATAAGTATCAGAGGAGAGTATGAAAAAAGCCAGGCCATCGTTGTTAAGGAAATCATTGGCGTTGCCTCAGGTAAGGAACACTGTGTGCTTATACATGGAATCGCCAGATATGTTCCGAGGATATGTTTTAACCAGGAGTAGAACACCCACACACCATTTGTGGAGTGAGTACAAAAGTAATTGGTCTGCTCTCAGCCTGCGGCCTCTCTGAAATAGAAATGTGACCCATCTTGTGGTGAGGACAAACTACGTTAACTGCGGAAAACAATTTGCCAACATGGCCTGCAGCCGTACGTCTGCTTAGAGATGCCAAGCAGAACTTGGTTGGGTTTTCCTCTGGATATTATATAGCACTCAGCTACAGATGTCGGCACAACTGCTGCTAATGAAACAGAAGGCACTTCAGAACCGTAGCCTTCCTTCCACCTTGGTTTCCTGTCCCTGTTCTGGTTTTCCAGGAACATTCCCTGACATCACGGCTGTTCAGACAGTGGCGGGTTGGGTGGTCTCGCTTCTAGAAAGAAAAGTGAGCATGCTAGCAGCTCTGAGCATCAGTTGTCTGAGGTCACAGCATCTCAATCAATGTCTAGAGAGGGCTTTAAAACTGGTAGGAACTGCCAGACGTCTGTTTTTATATCCAAATACTATTCTTTGCTTTAAAACATGCTGGTGCCATTTTTTGTCACTGATCTATTATTTTTGGCACGTGTACATGTCCTGTGATTTTTAATGTGACAGTTTGCATCTCTGCACCCCTAAGTGTCCTAAAGGGGCGCCATTGCAGAGATCTCTGTGCTCATGAATCGGATGTAGATTCAAGCAACGGGAACCCTCAAATCCTGTTCCGACAGGGCACTGATGTGCAGGCAGCTTTAGCATGAGTAAGATGGTGATACAGATGAGAAAGACTTGTGGTTTTCTCTTGCGTAAGCTGTTCCAGATTGCTTAAATGCTTGGGCGCAGCGGGCGCCCAAGCACTTGGGCACGGCAGCTAAAGGAATGTGTTGTTCCAACAGTTAGCCTCGTTTAGTGTGTGAGATTGGCCCTCGTAGCGTTTTACCTTTGTGCGCTGCGTTTGCATTTTGCTGCCAGCTGTTTTGAGTGAAACGGAAGTGTTGATTATAACACCACCTGCTTTAGGTGTTAAAACGTGCTGAGAGGTATTGATACTGCACCGCTTAGGTAAAATGGCTGGAAATAAATAAATGAATAAGAAAAGAAATACATTGTCAGCTAAGATTGTAATTTTTTAAAGGTTTTATAAATTTGTTTAATGGTGCATTCATACAACCAACCCCCCCCCTTGTGCTGGCTGCTGTATTTGTCATGTGATTGGATTAAAGCTGAATTAGATGGCCTCTGAAGGGGTCCAACTTACTAAGACATCTGCAGCCAAAGCTTTATATCACAGGGCACATCCAAACCATACATTTAAAGTGCTGTGATACCACAGTCATGGCTTCCTCCCAAAGGATTCTGGGAGCTATAGTTGTTGAGTGCGCTGAGAGTTGCTAAGAGGCCCCTGTTCCCCCTCACAGAGCTACAGGTCCCATAACGGCTTAACAATCAGTCCTTCTTCACAGGGAACTCTGGGAATTGTAGCTCTGTGACAAACCACAGTTCCCAGAATTCTTTGAGAGAAGCCATGACTGTCTAAAAAGGCATCATAGTCCTTCAGATGTGTAAACACGGCCATAGTCTGTCCATTTTAGCCCAGTTTTCATCTTGCAAAAGGAAGGAACTTGACATGGCCTCTGTGGTGACTGTTTTGTATCGAGCTGGCAAAAAGACGCAGGTAATTTAGTCGGTGCTGAATCAATTTCGCCGAGGACAGCTCTAATAAAAAGCCTGCATAAAATTCATATTTTTAATCTGCTTAATGAACGAACAAATAGATTGCACCATTTAATCTTTTCATTCTTCATTTGTGGGTGCTCTGGTGTTTAGTTTAGCTGTGGAATCGTCTGGCTTCTTTGTTTGACTACATCTTGTGTTTATCGCTTGACGTGAAATGTACAAAGCACTTTACAGAATTACATAGGCAAAATACAGTTCCCTACCCCAAAGGATCTTACAATCAAAATTTCTGTAGTAGAGGTAACACTAAGGGAAGTTGTGGGAAGAGAGATAAGAAGGGGCTGGGAGGACCCCCCCCCCCGCGAGCAGGTTTTTTGAGGGTGCATGGGGAGTTGCACAGGAGCTGGGAGGTAGGGGAGAGATTAACTGAGCAATCGAAAGTCCATTGCGCAAGCAGAATGGCAGCATTCTGTACATTCTCCAGAGAGCCTCCGCCTGTCAGTTTGTAGGCTGTACATAGTAAGATTGACCAGTGGTTTGACTTTATTATATGGCAGCTTCCTGTGCCCCTTCCCTGCCTGTTATGGGAAAATTAAAAGTACCCTACCACCATGTGTAAAAAAATGAACAAAAACTAGAATCAGGAAATCTGTGACTGAATCTCCATCTCATCTGGTTTGACCCAAAGCCAAAGTGGCTCTACTGGAGCACGCTAGCATGTTCAGCAGCAGTTTCAGGAAAAGCTGCTTGGGTGAATGCCTCCTAGCTTTGTGGGTGCATGGGAGCAGAATTGCAAACGTCTCAGTGAATACATTAGTGGTGGTTTTCTTAACTGCATTAGCTAACACCACCCACCTTCCCTAACTTCTCCTTCCAGGGCAATTATCTATAATTGTTTCCCCAGTAGCCTTTTGTGGGTAGAAACTGGTCTCTGAACATCTGGCCAGACATCGTTGCATGGTAGTTAGAAGATCTTTTGGGGCAATAAAATGCACAGTTGGGAGGCGTTGTGAAAGTGAATTGGGGTGTTTGTTTGGGCGGGGCGGGTGGGGGAGAGAATGATGCTGTCAAGAAGATCAAATTCTGTCCCTGTGGAAGGTTTTATGTATAATAGAGAGACAGCAGGTCTGTCTTGTCAACCAATTTATGCATTCAGTGTTAACAGCTAGTGATATGCCTTTTCAAAGCCAGGGTTGCTCACAGCAGTTTAATTAGCCCTTGCTCTTTACCAGTTCAATGAGACGGCGAAGGTTTGCGCTGGAAAACTTTCCAGAGAGAATACTGAAATGTGCAAGAGTGATTTCCCTGGTGTGCACTTGCAGAATGAGCTTTCTGAGTGCTAAAATGTTGTCACCTGACATCGCTTACATACTTTAGGACTTGGCATATAAGCGGCAGGATCCTTCCTGAGTAGTGTCAACAGGCTCTGAGTGTAGTTGGTTTCAAATGCTTAATTGGAGCTTAATGATACTTTGGCGCAGCCCACAACTAGTGCTTTATAGTACTCCGTGACTCTGTTCAGGTGTAGTACCATATCTTGGTTTAATGCTACAACAGGGTGGGGAACCTCAGGGGCTGAATGCAGCCCCCCAAAGCTCAATATTTGGCTCATGGGACTTTCCCAGGCAGCACCCCAACTTCCCCTGCTTTACACTGTCTTTGAGTGCTTTATCCTGGCTGAAATGAGCTCTGATAGTGTCTCTTCACTTCCCAGGATGGAGAATAGAAAGAGTGGGTGGGTGGGTGGTTGTGGGTGTAGAAACAGCCTACCACACAAAAGCCAAATTTACACTCATTGCTCTTTAGCCTCAGTCCCACTGCCCCACAGCTCTCCATCTAGGCATCATCAGTTCATGAACCCAGTTAAAGGACAGTTTGGGTGTGGAACATGGCTGCTTAGGGGTGAGAGGACATGGCCTGGGGTGAAGAGGGCTGCATCAAGGCCCTGGCCTGAGGTTCCCCAGCTCTGATGCAGACTTTAAAAGATCAGCAGCAGCAATTTCAACTGGGCCTGGAAGCGACCGGGCCAGGCAGCCACTGCAGATGAGCTAGATCTGGAATATTTCACTGAGGCTTCTTCCGTGACCAGATGAGCTGCAGCATTCTGCGCTAGCTGCTTCTTGAAACATAGAATACATGTAGGTCGTGTTTCAGTCACTTGTGTGGGAGTTTACTAAAGCATGAGGGACTGAGTTCAACTCTTTATCTGAAAAGAGCATCACCTGGGCTCACTAGCTTAACCCAGCAAAATGCACTCCTAGGCTCTGCAGCCGCCTGAGAATCCAACAGAAGTTCAGCGTTTAGGAGCAACCCCTGGTTGCAAATCTCATCCTTAGTGGGGGATCTAACTCTGCTAGGATAGTTTTGGGGCTGTCCCATCATTATCACTTCTTTACTGCCTGGATTAAGCTTCCATTTGTTATCCCTTATGCAGTCAGTAACTGCCTTCAGGCATATTTTTAAGGAATGCAGTGCTTCACCTGAAGTTGAGGGGGGACGGACGGAGTTGGGTGTCATTATTAGGGGCAGACTCAGGGATGCGGGTGACGCTGTGGGTTAAACCACAGAGCCTAGGACTTTCCAATCAGAAGGTCGGCAGTTCGAATCCCCGCAACGGGGTGAGCTCCCTTTGCTCAGTCCCAGTTCTTGCCAACCTAGCAGTTCGAAAGCACATCAAAGTGCAAGTAGATATGTAGGTACCGCTCCGGCGGGAAGGTAAATGGCGTTTCTGTGCGCTGCTCTGGTTTGCCAGAAGCAGCTTAGTCATGCTGGCCACATGACCTGGAAGCTGTACGCTAGCTCCCTCGGCCAATAAAGCGAGATGAGCGCCGCAACCCCAGAGTTGGCCATGACTGGACCTAATGGTCAGGGGTCCCTTTACCTTTTTATTAGGGGCAGAAAACTTTTTATGGCCCAGACATCCTCAGCGACTTAAGTGGTGGTTTGGGGTAGTTTGCTTCACTTTGAGTATTGGTGGTTGAGGATTTCAAGAGGCTTCATGGCTGAGGGGTTGGGGGAAGATATTGTTCCTGATGAGCACTGCAGTTGTGGTGGTGGTGTGTGTTTAAGACTTGACTATCCCCTGCATGTGGAGTCAGGCTCCTGCGGATTGAGCGGACTAGGCCAGTAGCGTGTCCAACAGTCAAGAAGACTGTTTCTGCACGTGCTGTAGAGGGAAGTGAGGGGCACATGGGGATCGTCAACCTGGGAAGGGAGCCCATCTAGGAGAAGGAAAACCCTGATCCTAAACCTCTGCTGCTTTGCGGCTAGACTCGTTCCTGAGAAAGGCTTTGGGAGCAAACCCTGAGGAACAACCCGTACTTGCTAGCTTGTGGGACATCTTTGGGAGAAGAAAAGGTTAAAGAGTAAGCCCTGCACAAATCCAAAATGGAGTCCCTACAATGGTTGGATGGCACCTTGTGTGCCTCCTTCCGGCAACTCCTGCAGCTGAGCTAGTCCAAACATATTGCTCTGCTTTCATTTGGACTTGAGGGGGGCGGGTTTTGTCGTCTGGGTAGCCCAGGCCTTCCATACACACTACCTAGATTTGTGCCACGGTGGTTTATGTGTCCTTTTTTAATGTAGTGAAATAGGTGTGGCTATTTAGACTGGCTGTTTTTTAAAAAGTGAAATGAAAGTGGTAAGGCAGAGGTGTTACATCTGCTTTGCATGCAGAAGGTCTCAGATTCAGAACCCAGCAATCTCCAGATAGGACAGGGAATGTCCTCTGTCTGAAACCCTGGAGAGCAGCTGCCAGCCAGTATGAACAGTACTCAGCTAGATGGACCATTGATAGGACTTCGTATAATGCAGATTCCTGTGTGGACACTGAGCCTGCAGGGAGAGGGACCACTCAGCCAGAGGGGACAGCAACACATTTCACTGAGGTGCAAGGATATTGCATAACTGAAACGGCTGCACCTGCAACCATGAAGCCAGGACCCCAATTGACCTCCCCCTCCGCCCCCACCTGGGATATTCAAATGCAAAGAAAGAAAAGTGTTCTATGTTCTCACCTGCAAGTTGGCTTATCACATCACCAGCTAGAATTCTCATTGTATGCTAGGATGGTAGAAGTTGATAGAAGCGGGTGGCAGTGCCAGATTAATGTCTGGATTCCTTTTAGATTTCTGCAAAGCAGGAAGCTGCATTGAGCCTGTGCTTTTCCAACAGGGTATAAGGAGCCCATACAGATCCTGAGTGATGTCATAGCCCAGCTGGATGCTATTGTCAGTTTTGCTCATGCGTCAAATGCAGCGCCGACCCCATACGTACGCCCAACAATTCTGGAAAAGGGGACAGGGAAGATTGTGCTGAAAGCCTCAAGACACCCCTGCATTGAAGTTCAAGATGACGTTTCCTTCATCCCGAACGATGTGACCTTTGAGAAGGGCAAGCAGATGTTCCATATCATTACCGGTAAAAACTTCGTTTATATGCCATGCCTGTTTCCCCTCTTGCCTCCATCTTCTGTGTTGTATGTGTGCGTGTTATTTATGAGGATGCTTTTAAAATAAGCCTGTATCCTGGCCTCAAAACAGAGAAGAAATGAGCCTATAATAATTTCTGCAGACGAGCGTTCTGCATTTAGGTGGGTGTTTTGATTTGAAATGGGGAAGCAATCTTCAGGCAAGCCTTAGCGTTCCAGCTTTCAAGTTTGAAGTCTGACTGACAACCAGTGCAAAACTGACCCAACATGCAAATCAGTGGAAGTGATTTTCATAAAATGCAGATGGAACAGCCATGGTTGCATTGGTGGTGGTGTCGCTCACTGACAAGGTAGAACAGCTTATGAATATGATAATTAATCAAAAGTTAATAAAGAAGGACATTGAAGAATAGCTGTATTTAATCAGAATTATTGTTTTGTTGGTTTTAGGTAGCATTTTGCTTCAATAGATACTGTTTTTATATCATGTACTGTGTAAGCCACATACAGATTTTTGAAATACTAAGTAGTTTAAATTAAAAAACAGCACAGTATGTTAAACTGAAGTTGCATATTAGGTTGTCAAGAAGACCTTTACTCCTCCTGCTTGAAATGCTGCTTAATTTCCTGCTGCTACTTGCTCTGCAGGTCCAAACATGGGAGGGAAATCCACCTACATCCGCCAGACAGGGATGATTGTTCTCATGGCCCAGATTGGCTGTTTTGTGCCATGTGACTCTGCAGAGATAAGCATTGTCGATTGCATCTTGGCTCGGGTAGGAGCTGGAGACAGCCAGCTGAAAGGCGTGTCTACCTTCATGGCGGAAATGTTGGAGACGTCTGCCATCCTTAGGTAAGACCTTCGTTTGCAAACCTTGCTCGCCAGAAGCCCCAAGTGTTTCTACAAGCTTAGTGACCCCACTCCCCAAGGTGCTTGTGATCTGTTTTGTGCACAGGACAGATACTCTCTGAGACCGGCCACAGCAACTGGAATACAGTGGTGCCTCGCAAGACGAAATTAATTCGTTCCGCGAGGCTCTCGTATAGCGGTTTTTTCGTTTTGCGAAGCAAGCCCATTGACAGCTTAGTGGATTAGCGCTATTAGCGGTTTAGCGGCTTTAGCAATCAGCTGTTTAAGCGGCTTATCAGTGGATCAGCTGATAAGTGGCTTAGTCGGCTTAGGAAAAAGGGGGGGAACCCATAGGGAATTCGTTTTGCGAAGCGCCTGCCGCGACGAAAACCCTTTCGTCTAAGCGGGTTTTTCGTCTGTGAGGCGTTCGTCTTGCGGGGCCAGCCACTGTACAGTGGTACCTCTGGTTATGTACTTAATTTGTTCCGGAGGTCTGTTTCTTAAAGCTGAAACTGTTCTTAACCTGAAAGCACCACTTTAGCTAATGGGCCTCCTGCTGCGCTGCTGCCGCGCCGCAGCGTGCGGTTTCTGTCCTCATCTGAAGCAACAGTTCTTAAAACCAAGTACTATTTTCTGGGTTAGTGGAGTCTGTAACCTGAAGCATATGTAACCTGAAGTGCATGTAACCCGAGGTACCACTGTAGTTTATCTTTTTGAGAATCTCAGAAGTCTCCATAACATAGGAAGAAAACAACAGGCTCATTTTGCTTTCCTTGTTGATTCCGTCGCGGAGGCGCTTCGCAAGACGAATTTCCCTATGGGCTTGCTTTGGCAAGACGAAAACGTCTTGCGAGTCTCGCCAATTTTTTTTTGCTCCCCCCCCTTTTTCAAAGCCGCTAAGCCGTTAATAGCCTTTTAACAGCTAAGCCGCTAATAGCGCTATAGCGCTAATCCGCTTAGCCGCTAATGGGGTTGCTTCGTAAGACGAAAAAACCGCTAGACGAAGAGAATCGCGGAACGGATTCTTTTCGTCTTGCGAGGCACCACTGTAGAGGGAATGTTATCTGGAGGAGGCTCTTAAAAGAGAGGAATGTTGAGAAAGTAGCATTTGTGTATCCTTGCTTGTTCAGGGGCCAGTGGTGTAGTTTTCCTGTTTAGTTTAGTTTAGTTTTAAAGCTGCACCACTTTTGACAACTTTATTGCCTCTGGTTTTAGGATTGCAACAGAAAACTCATTGGTAATCATTGACGAGCTTGGGAGAGGAACATCTACCTATGATGGATTTGGATTGGCCTGGGCAATCTCGGAATATATTGCCAGCAAAATTGGAGCGTTTTGTATGTTTGCCACTCATTTTCACGAACTGACCGCACTTGCTGACGAGATCCCCACCGTGAATAACTTGCACGTCACAGCGCTAACCACAGAGGACACGCTGACAATGCTGTATCGTGTGAAAAATGGTGAGGCTCGCTTCAGATCCCTGGAACAAATCTACCCTGTTTACTGTAGAGCAGCCTTCACCAGTCTGATGTCCTCCAGATGTTTGGGACTACGACTCCCATCATCCCTGCCCGTTGGCCATGCTGGCTGGAGCTGATGGAAGTTGGAAGGCACCACATGGGGGAAGGTTGGCGTTGTGAGAAACCTATGGCCTTCCAGACATTGTTGGAATCCAACTCACTTAGCCCAGTGGTCAGGGATTATGGGAATTGGAGTTCAGCAACACCTGGTGAGCCATAGATTCCCTGGTCCTAGTTTAGTGTACTGTGGACTCATGTGCTCCCCCACCCCTCCACCTGGCCAGGAAGAGGAGTTGGGAAGCTTTCACTTTTAGTTAGCAGCCTGTCATATCACCTGGAGGGCAAACTGTGGTTAACCCACACTAGCTGATTGGTTTCAAACAAGCCTGCTTTAAACTACTTCGAGAAACTGGCTTGTTGAAGCAGCCATGGTTAATGTTAGCCACCGTTCCTGTTTTGAATGACACAGGAAGCCACCGTTAACTTAAATGGAAGTTTCCAAGCTACTCCTCTTTTGGAGGTGTCCCAACATTGCTTGGCTCTGGGCTGGATATGTACATATTTCGGTACCCTTTTCCATTCCTGTCCTCTGAATCATTTCCAATTTATGGCCCCCACAAATTACTTTTAATGGTTGACACACGATGCTTTTGCAACCCCAAATGGACATTTTCCTTTTGTACTCTTGTCCCATTTTGATAACTTACTGCTTCTTAGCAATGTTCACTTTTATGGTGTTTGAAACCCCCTGACCCAGGCGGAGTTTCAGATTTCCCCAGCTCAAGCAGGATTATGTTTAACAGCTAGAAATTGGGGCGGAGTTTGACCCGGACATCACTTTTCAGGCAGTCAGTCCCCCCTCTTTCTGAAATATGCAGCATGGAATCAGATGCACAGGTTGTGCTTTCACCTTTTGAGGACTGACCCCAGTGATGCTTCTTCCAGGGCCTTGTGACCAGAGCTTTGGCATCCACGTGGCAGAGCTAGCTGCTTTTCCCAAGCATGTGATAGAGAATGCCAAGACAAAGGCCTTGGAGTTGGGGGAGTTCCAGACCGTTGGAAATCCACAGGCCGAGGAGGAAGAGCCACCAGCCAGGAACTTCTACAAAGAGAAGCAGGTTTGCTAACTGTCATATGCTTGTTGAAATCATTTCTTTCCCCCTTTTCTATAATGTATCTACAAGATTTAGATACGGATTTGTCAACAAGAACCTCTTAAGTGATACCACTGCCCCTGGAATGGTGCCCACAAAAAAAACATTATAGGGTGCATAGTATACTCTGCTTGCCTTCCTGTCTCTTGAATCCACGTGATGGGGTGAGCTCCTGTTGCTCTGTCTCAGCTTCTGCCAACCTAGCAGCTGGAAAGCACACCAGTGCAAGTAGATAAATAGGTACCACTGCGGCAGGAAGGTAAACAGTTTTTTTTGTTGCACTCTAGCTTCCGTCACGGTGTTCCATTGCGCCAGAAGCGGTTTAGTCATGCTGGCCACATGACTCAGAAAGCTGTCTGTGGACAAATGCCAGCTCCCTTGGCCTGAAAAATGAGATGAGTGCCACACCCCATAGTTGCCTTTGACTGGACTTAACCATCCAGGGGGTCCCTGTCTCTCTATGTCATTTATCAGAAGACTGATACCACTTTGAGCTCCCTGAGCCATCTCCTCCGAAACCAGGAAACTTAGCTTACTGCATCACTGAGAGTTTTGCATTCTGCGGCCTCTTTGCTTTAAGATGATGATTTGTGGGTGAGCAACAGCTGCTGCATTAACAACTGCTCAGATGATACTTTCTGTGTTTTTGAAGCACTGGCTTGCAAAAGCTCACTCGCCAATGTGTGTTTAATGCTTAATCCTTTTCAGTCTGCAAATTTCTTCCCTGATTTCTTCTGTTAGACTGATGCTGTCCAGACACGTTTGCTGAATGGTATAAACAGAACTGTAAAGAACGCTTTGTGAACTGATTTTGAGAAGTAGCCATGTCAGTTTGCTGCAGCAAGGAAACTCTAGTTTCACCTTAAGATAATGAACCGGATTATTGTAGCCTGGGGTTTTACGGACTAAAGCTCATCTCATCAGTTACACACAGTATTAGGAATTAAAGGCTATCAGGACTTGTATAAATCACTTGGGTGCAGCAGCCAAAGCAAATAGATTCTGTGATAACAATCAGTATTCTCTCTCTCTCTCTCTCTCTCTCTCTCTCTCTCTCTCTCTCTCACACACACACACACACACTTTAACTAGGAGTTTGAATCTAGATCTTCTGTGTATCACATCTGCTTAATTTGCCATTTTCTGCCATTTTAAGTCATTGATCCACAAACCCTGGGTTGTTGAAATTGCTATTTTCAGTGCCAGATGAATGCCTTCGTAGGGGCTTAGAAATGGTGCAGCAGAAGCCTATGAGGCTCCCCACCCATGCTGCAGAGGAATCCAGAAGGACGCAAATCAGAGGCTGAACATCATTTTCTTTTCCTTTCTAGGAAGGTGAAAAAATAATCAAGGATTTCCTTTCTAATGTGAAAGCATTGCCACTGGCGGACATGTCTGAGGAGGACATCAGAACCAAACTGAAGCAGCTGAAAGATGAAGTCGGGGCAAAAAACAACAGCTATGTGAACGAAATCCTTTCCCAAACAAAGCTAATTGCGTGACATGAGAAAATCTAAACAAGGAGCCATTTGAACTCAGGTTGGAAGTGCACAGTTGCACTCAGTCAAAGGCCATTGCCAAAGGACGTGATGCCACGTCCTGTTTCTCACAATGGCAGGTGCCATGTTAAATACTGGAGACCAGAACAAAATGTTATTTCTCAGCTAGGACTTACTTGCATGTTACTTATTGAGTGGTTTTCTCCTATGATGGGGTTGTGGATATGTTTTCTATGGTATTCTAATTTTCTGTGGTATTCTAATTTTGAAATGGTTGCCCTTGAATAAATGCAATGCATCATGGTTTAAACTGTTACTCCTTGTTTTATTTCCGCTGCATATAGAAATATTTAAATAAGCAACAGCAGGAAAACAGAATTGGACATGGTGCTCACTATTGCTAGAAATGTTCTCCCATGCCTTATTACATCTGTGTTGAGACTCTGTTAGTTCAGCAGTTTACAATGGGGGTGGGGAGGCCTTTTTAGCTTGAGGGCCGCATTTCCTCCTGGGAAAGCTTCCAGGGGCCAGAGGAAAAAATAGGTAGAGCAACAGCTGTAGTAGGCAAGAGGTGTAACCACAGTTCAAGAACGCTCTCCAGCCACAGGCAGAAGGACTCAAGGGAGCAGTGAGGGGCATGGCCTGGGGTGGAAGATAACTAGAGAAGGTTCTGAGGGCCAGATACAGTGGCCTGGAGGACTGCTTTTGGCCCCCTGACCTGAGATTTCCCCACTTACCCCTTATTTACAATATTGACTGAGTGAGAACTACAGGTGGGTAAAGGAAGGGGGGAATTTACAGTGCAGTCAATACTGCAAATCAAGTAAAAGTAGCTTTCTAAGAAGGAAGAATCGGGCCTGGAAGGTGGAGCTGTTTTGAGCACCAGAGTGGAATGGAGCTCACAGTTCTTTTGCCTAAATATACACTCCTGGTTGTCACTGGGAGTTTTCTTCGTCATTCCAGCTGAATAATTTCGGGAAAGGGCAACACTTCACTGGTAGAGCATACAGGAGCTTCCAGGTTCGATCCCTGGCATCTCCCAAGGATGGAGAGACCTCCATCTGAATCCTGGAGAACCGCTGCCAGTCCGGGTAGATGGACCAATTGGTCAGACTCAGTATAAGATGGCTGTGTATGATCCCAACTATACCCCAAGTACATTAGTACTGTCCTCAACCTACGATATCGTTGGGAGACTGAAAGTTCTGGTGGCATCAAAATGTGCACACACACTACACTAGACATCTTACTTTGTGTGGGGAAATGTAACATCAAAGGTGGCTTTTGCAGCCCGATCCTGTGCATATCAACATCAGAATAAATCTCACTAATTTCCATGAAACTTACTCATGAGTTGGATTGCAGCCTTAGTTTGGATGGATTCCAAGGGTAAAATCCCTCCTTCTGCAAAGGGAGAGCCCAACTCTTCCACAGGCTCCGAGGTAAGATATCATCCATCATACAGGCTGTACCTTGCTGTTTTCTTCAAGCAGAGAGAAGGAAAAGCTACTTGTTCTAATTTCTGCCCCCCCCCCCGACTTTCTGGAGTACATTTGCACTGAATGCAGAGCCATCAAAGCCTCGCAGCTGAAATTGTGCTGCTGTTGAGTGTCCAAGTATCACTTGACTGTCAGCCCTGTGTGCCGATGAGATTTTCTTCCTCTGGTGTGCTTATTTACACTGGTAATTCATCCAAAGAAGGTACTGAGGACTGAAGGCACCGGGAATATTAGCAGTTCATTCAGTGGCTTTTCAGTTACGGAGGAAAATAGCATTTGGTTGCAGTGAAAGACCTTTTTTTCCTCTTTTTACAAAACATGGCCCACGGTGGTATATTTCAGAGGTGCTGTCATCTTTGAAAAGGATGGTTTCTGCTTCTATTCAGCGGAGGAAATTGGGATATTATATGGTAGAGTTGTGAGCATTAGGCAAATGCACTTGCAGTATTTCATTTTCTGGGGGGAAAAAATGCAGAATGCCCATTTTTTACTTGGTGTTTGAAAGCACCACCCTGGGTCCGCATTTCTCTGTTTTTTCATTGGTGAGACTGGGCCACTGCCTGAAATAAGAAAGAATTTTTTTAAAAAAATAATTTTTTTATTAAAGTTTCAAAATTTTTATAACAACAAAACAATACAATAATACAAACAAACAAAAGAAAGAATAAAAACAAGTATAATTTCAACCCTTATTTTCATATAACTTACTTCCCCGACTTCCTCATACCTCCCCTTTCTGTATTCCAATTTCTAATTTTTTATTCAGCAAATCCTTTCCCTTATTTTTCATTTGATTTTTAACATTTCTTTTCTTTTTAACTTATCCATTACAGCTGGAAACCACATATTTTCTAAACCAACGTCATTCTAACATTCATTAATTTTACAATATTTCTTAAGATAGTCCTTAAATGAAATAAGAAAGTTTGCATTTAATAATAATAAATGTGCTGGAAGTCAGCCACTCGGCACATATAAGAGTGGTGGACTCGTAATCTGGTGAACCGGGTTTGCTTCCCTGCTCCTCCACATGCAGCTGCTGGGTGACCTTGGGCCAGTCACACTTCTTTGAAGTCTCTCAGCCTCACTCACCTCACAGAGTGTTTGTTGTGCGGGAGGAAGGGAAAGGAGAATGTTAGCCGCTTTGAGACTCCTTGGTAGTGATCAAGCGGGATATCAAATCCAAACTCCTCCTCCTCTTCTTCTTTATTGCACCACCAGGGCGGCGTCCTGGTGATGCAGCAATAAAACTGCTAGCGCCTTTGCAAAGCTAAGCGTGAGCCAGCACGGTTTCAAATTGGGGGACCACGTGTTGAGATTCCTACTTTGCAGGGGGTTGATGACCCCCAGCGTCCCTTCCAACTCTACAATTCTATGTTTCTATCTGCCTCACATATGACTTAAGGTGTGGGACAGATGGGCATGGTTTGGGAGAAGTTGCCTCGGGCTCACGGGGACACATGTTAGGCCAACTCTGGCTTGCAAACTGGAGGTTCCCCATCCCTAGCCAACGACATGATTAGCCACTTGGTGCTTCAAAGCATAATGGCATTGGGAATGGTCTAAAAGTGAATGATACCATTACGCTGCAATAAGTATCAACAGAACACTGCCTGGTTGTCCTGTATAGCCTCCTTGAGCATGTGATAGATGAATACGTAATTCTGCCTTGCATGTGCTAATCTAGATAATTGCCATCATAACAAGATTTTGTTTCTGAAGATCTACAGTAAATAACTTGCCTCTTACATTTCTCTTAGCCTCCCCCACAACAACCAGCCTTAAAAAAAAAGCAAAAAGCTGTATTGCTAAACGTCCGATTTCTAAATATATTCTCTCATCTGTTTATTTCAGCTTGGCATTTATCTTCATTGGAGTGGGGGGGGGATGGTGAGATGCGCTTGGAGTGCATTCTGACAAGTCATCACTGTGATGAAAATAAATGACATTTAAAGCAAGAAATAAAAATAAAATAAATCTTCGGTTTTTGCCCATGCACATCCAAAAGTTGCTTATTAAAGAGAATATCCTTTCCAGCAAGGTGGCACAAATGTTTCTAACATTAGGATTTAACATTTTCTGTGTTGATTAACAGAATAGTTGTTCTCCCACATTGTTTCCTGATTCTTCTTTCTAGCAACGGGGAGGGGTTGTCACGCACCGTAATAAGCCGGATATTGTTTTCTACAAGATATCAGATATATTCATGGCACATGCCCATATAATGAGTGTTATTCAACTCAGGTTTACTGAGTTGAATAGTCCCGTTGAAATTAATGGACCTAACTTAATCACGTTTTCTAATTTCAGTGGTTCTACTCTGAGTAAAATTTAGCTAATAATACTATTGTTACTGTACTAGTTCCATTTAGAAATGCACTAGATATCTATGTGCAGATAGATATATTTTTTATTATGAGAGGAAAATCTGTGACCCTGCAGATGTTGTTGGACTCTTAATTTGCATCACCCCCACCAGCATGAGCAATGGAGTTGTAGTCCAGAAATATTTGGAGGGAAACGTGTGGGTGTACACACACACACACACACACACACAGAGAGAGAGAGAGAGAGAGAGAGAGGGCCCTCCAAATGCAGTGTAAGGCGGAATATCCAAAAAAGGATCCTAAGGTAAGATTTTACTCAAAGAAATGATTGCTCGCAATCACATTATTGGCCCTTGCATAGTTTCTTATTCTTCACTATAAGAAGAACAGTGTGTGTGTGTGTGTGTGTGTAAATGTAAGTGTAATCTGGATTAGTGCCACGTTCATTGGTAAAGTGAACCATGGTCTCACACCAGAGCACTTTGCCCAGGACAAGTGTTTGATAAAGAAAAAGCAAACATTCAAGGGACCAACATGTGGTTTATCATCATGGTCTTTGGTCCTGAATGGGTAGATTCACCCAAGTTAGGTCTGGCTACTGAGTGGGGTATATGGTGTTAGTTTCTGTTCTTATCACTGTGCAGCTGCTTGGAGTCACAGGACTCTGTTTACATTCCAGAGACCTTCCAGTCTCACGGGAAAGGAGACAGGATGTGACATTAGTGGTTTCCTGTTTCCTTTGCTCAGTTGCTCTTCTTTCATAGAGAGAGGATGTTTTTTCTGTCTGCGTAGCTTAGAAATAAACTCTTTACAATGTAGCCCAAACCTCTCGTCTCTTTCCTGTGCTGGAAACTCTGCTGAATGGAACGTGCCTTGGAGCCTCATCAAAGGCTCAGGTCGTTATTCGTCGAGAGGCGATTCCGAAGACTTGGGGGAAGAAAATGACCTTTATCAGCTTGGCCGCGCGGAGATCCCGACATATGTTCCTTCCCCATTCACTTCAATGGAAGGCATAAGTTCATATGCTCATCCCTACTCCCTCCACTTAGATCAAGGGGAAGATGTTGCACGTGGGGACACTCTCTGAGCATGGGTGGCCCCCTTGTCATTCGACCTATAAGAAGAGTCTGTGGGATCAGGCCAATGGCCCATCTAGTCCAGATTCCTGTTCTCACAGAGGCCAACTAGTGCCATTTTTATCAGAGCGGGAGAAAATAATGCATTCCCTTCATGCCATGTATAATTTTATAAACTTATGTCACCTCTTACTTTTTCTCTATACTAAATAGCCCTATATTGATGTCCAAGTAAATACTCCTTTGCATAAAAGGATCTACATTGGCTCCCAGTACGTTTCCGAGCACAATTCAAAGTGTTTGTGCTGGCCTTTAAAGCCCTAAAGAGCCTCCATCCTGTATACCTGAAGGAGCGTCTCCACCTCCATCGTCCAGCCCAGACACTGAGGTCCAGCTCCTGCTGGTGGTTCCCTC